AAGAGTAATTAAGTCCTCTTTAAAGTCACTTGCATAGTGGACATAATCAACATCTGAATCCATAAAACAAAAATAATTATGGTAAAGTACTGTCCTTCAGAATTTGATAGTTGTTATGTATGGGGGGGAAAACCTAGTCTCTCGTTCGAAGGGAAGTTCATAGACTGGGTTTGTGAGAGGAAATAACAGATTTTTGGTTTTTGTAGTCTTCACCAAACGTTATCAGGATAATCGTATCAAGAATATGATGGGCAGCGTATGTAGCACAGCATAAACTTGGAAGATGAGAAATTTATACGAAATTTTAGTCGGAAAACTTGAAAAACAGTATTATGTGTTGTATATAAACGGAGATTGTATGATGATATTAAAAAGTATCTTAAAGAGACTGCGAGGGGACTGTATTAACCATTTAAGGTCGAATGTCAATTACATATATAAGCTACTTTAACAATCAGTAACACGGTATTTTTATTGGTGGTGTGATTCTCAGTGTAAAGAGAGATTATTTCCTTCAGCAGTTGTTCTTTGTAGTGGGGAACAGTTGTGTTTTCTTTGCGGTACGGACTGAATTCTTAAATATTATTTAGACGAGCTTCGGCCCTGTTTCTTAATGTTTTTATATGAGAGGCAGTGTTCTATACGTGTCTTATTTCCAATGTGCAATATATCGAAAGCATGCATTTAAAAATACAATCAGGAATAAGATATGTTTGTAACATAAATGTTTGTTTCTGTCTTAGCGTCAAGGATATTTTGTTTCGTCATGTGCCTAAAGGTTTTTCGTTGTCTTTCTGGGGTGACCAAATTCTCGTTCCTCGTTTAAAGTTAACAAATTTGAAACGCATTGCTTTGACGTAAAAGAAATGGTAATTTTCGTTAAATATATTTTTGGGGAAAATTGGAATTTTCAAAATTAATTTAAGATCGTTTTGTATGGGAATCTTTCTTTTTCCCTTTGTATCTGTGACCTTGCTTCTAGACGATCATAACCTGTTTTAGTGATTTTAAATTGATCCACTTCACTGCTAGTTCATTGCTTTACAGCCGTTTAATTCAGTTAATGGAGAAGTGGCAATAAATGAGAGAAAAGATGTGTGACATGTCTTTTCGTTTTTATAATCTGAATGTATTGTAAGAACATTTCAGTGTCCTTACTGCAGTGCATCGTCTTTCATGTGTCAGTTGAGGTTAAAATGCCCTATTATTTTTATATTATTCATGAAATGGGTTAAAGATACACGTATGGAGGAGTAATATGAGACATATTTTACGGCAGTGAAAATTTGGCTGTTGTGACACCGTGTAGTCTTGTTGGTTGTTGCTAACGTTTCGTAGGATCCTATTGCATCCATCTTCGTGGTAGACTTGAGTCAAGTGGGTGTCAGTTTCTTACCACTTCCCATTGGCCACCCTCCACTCTTTGGTAACCGTCATCACCTGACTCACTTGTACCTGGAAGATGACGTTGATAGGTTCCTCCAAAATTTGCAGTGGCATTATAACTCAGAAAACTTTAGTAGAGCGGCGAAATCGGGAAGTAAGTCTGTCTGCTTGCGTTACAATCCCAACACAGACCTGTCGAAAGAAAATTTCTCATTTGTTATTCAAGTAACGGGGAGAAAAATATATTCCCACATTCTCAGCCTTGAAATGCTTAAAAAGCAGTTGCATGTTCCAGGGATAACTTAAATATACGTTCGGTGTATCCACAAATGACAATGGGGAATGACATGCAGTTTGATCAATATCATTCCCTTCCCCCCCCCCGGGTCATGTGTTCAGTGAGAGTGTCCTTCAGGGGTGGCCATGGGTTTTGGAAACTATGTTAGCAGAACTCGAATGTTTATCAACATCGCCCTTACAGAAGACCGCCTTCTGTCACGAACTTCAAAAAGTTTCGTCCAACTTACGTCCTCACAATTTATCTCCTTAAATACATATTTTTGTTATATTTCCATTTTATTCTCGGTTTTTCAAGTAGACATTTCCCAAGTAGTTTTTCCCATGAAAATTCTATGTACATTCTTCATTTCCCCCACTGGCTTGTTTGTTTGCGAGACATAAATATCACCCTGGAATCTTTGGGTGATATTAAGGTTCCCAAAGGATTGAGTTTTTCCTTCAGGACCTCGGTTAGGAGGATTAGATACAGTTATACACTTTCTTATCCTCGACATTATGGGGACTTTTTGGTTAGTTTGACGCTCTCGCCGCCTTAACTCCAGTAGAAACAGCTCACAGTACCCACTGGGTGGGAGGCTGGATGTTCCCCTGAACCAGTCTGTCCGAGACGGACAAAATAAAAAAAAGCTTGCCCTTGGAAATTATAATCCCGTTCCATTTTCTTCCCGCTGTAGGTCTGCACTTCTGGAGATAAAATTCTTGTAAATGTTTTTGTGAAGTCTGTATGCGTAATAATATTTATAAACACATTCCTTCAACGTGAAGGTAATTAAGAAACTTCGTCGTGCATAAGTCAGGCAGTTCGCCACTTCAGCTCTTTCGGCGAAAATTGTTTATACTTGACGCAAGATATCTTCGAGCTTTCTTGACCATTGGCGGCCAGCCAGCCAGCCAGCAGCGCTACGCGATAGCATACCTCCCCCGCTTGCCCACTTACTGTAACGTAGCTCAAGTTCGCACATTTTTGCGTCCAGTGCTACATTCTCGCTCTCCTCCCATTGGATAAAGGGATAGATAAATCCGCATAGTTCCCAGATCAATAATTTTACTTTCCGGATAATAGGTTGAGTGTCCCATAATCACAGCGTGGGACCGGAATATGAATTGTTGCAGCATTTTTGAATAATTCTATAATCGATAAAGTACAATAACAATTTCGTGGTGGAGCAACATGAAATTGCCTCTATTATGTATTCAGTCTGTTTATACGAGTCGTCAGTGATATTAATGTTTGGATATTACGATGCAGTTTACAACTTCCGTTTAATTAAAATCATTTCACGTTGCTCCTGGTGGAATAGTGATCTCATGAAAATCCAAAAGTTGATTATAAAACTGAGGGGAAGAACAGGGGAGGTTAGCAGAAATACAAGGGGTGTGTAGAAATGTTCCATTTTGTTCCGCTGCAAAAAAAAAAATACCTGATTTAAATTCAGTTATGTTGGTAACTATGAGTGTCTTATTGCAGTCGATTTCTAAATCGATTTAATTAAGTCATCGACCACTCTAGCTTGTTTTCCAGTGTGAAACCGTGTTTAGTGGTACGTGTCGTCTGAATTCTATATTAATATTTGAAATAAGTGGACTATTATTATTCCTTTCAGATTCACGCATAGAAATTTGATACAATAAAATTGTCCTTCCCCCCCCCCCTTATTTTTCGATCTACCTATCTGTCTGTCCATCCACTGCACCTATCTACCAAACAACCTACCGACACACTTTTCCTTGTTTATCGTTTGTTTCTTTCCTCCTGTGTACGTTTATTTCAAATTATTATCCTTATCTTTTCCATCTTTTCTTAATTCTTGATTTGGAGCTTCAGATAAAGTAGTGGTTATATTCGGCCGATGCGGACGGAAATTATATCCGATCCAGAATGTTTCATGTAAACTCCTCATATCACATTCAACCGAAAACCACTGAGTACATTTGGAAATTAGAATCCGAAAGAAAGAAATGACATGCTGGACTATTCGTATACGTGAAACGCTTATACCTTGTGTGTAAAAGGCGTAAAATTATTTATTTTATTTTCAGACTGTTTAAAACTGTATACGTTTTACATAAAGTCCAGAGATAGGAGGTAACAGGAACACCGAGAAAATTACATACTAA